TCTGCGTCTCCTAAGCTCATAATTTCAGCTTTGGTTCTGTAGAGCTTATTGACTTAGCTCTGAAACGGTTGTGGTGTTTTTTTTTGGGTATTCTGTTTGGGTGAATCAATTGATTTGTCGAGCTTGCATTTAATTGTAAATAAAGATCAGAAACTTGAGACAAAGTTGTTCCATATACGAAGTAATGAATAGTTTGTACTTGGTAGAAGTTATCAGGACATTTTTTGAAGGCTCTATCGGTAAACCACTTTCCGTACCCATTTCGATAACTTCGATAGTTTGTTGGTTGTGAACACCAAGTATCGCTTACCGCTTCCCGGAAGTATCGAATCTTCAAGAAGAACCTCTCCCGTCATGGTTTGCTAGTATTTAACAGGCAGCTCAAAATCGAATCCCGTTGGAATCGTTGGCTGATTTTGTGGTTTGAGTCAGGCTCTTAGGATCCTTCCTTTGACGTCAGGCACTAGAGAAATCTTTGCGAAATCTGCTCTGGCTTTTGGCAGGCATTTGACAGCACCTTCTGTGTAAAAGAATCCGTGCAGACCGCTGCGTAAGCTGTGATCTGTTCCTTGATGACATTCATTTCCATTAAAGCATAATCCGGCTGTGTGTGTTCATGTGGCGACGACTTGAGGAATTCGCCCTTTAGAGCCCATAACCTGGCTTTAAACTGTTGCTTTGATTGCCGCAACTCGCACTCCCAAAGAATGTAATTGACTTATTCTCTTTTCTTCTAAAAATAAGTAGTGTGAAGCACTTTCTCGCTCCCTTTGTTACTTAACTTAAATATTTCGTTTGTATCGTAATTGTTTTGACTTTTGTCGATAGTTTGTGAAACGCATGTGTTTTACAAACTGAACAAAGTTTTGCGTCAATAGGCTAATGTTTAGTTGCTAGTGAGGATTAAAATATGGCCAAGTAACCTGGTATTGCACTTCTTAAACTGATCAATTTGCTGGGATTATATCCGGTGTTATTTTTTCTCTATCAGTCAACATTAACAAACATCAAAATAAGCTTAAAATTTTGGCAACCCCAAATGTGTCCTACTGCTTGTGCCTTGTAGCTAATTATTTTTTACAATCAAGGCTCTCCTATAGAAGGTCAACTGAAAGTTAGATTCTTAAAGGTAAATTCTTGAAAAGTTAAGTTAAAATAGCGATGCTTGTGTAAATGTCAGCTCAATAGCAGAAAAAAAAACAAATCAGAATGCATAGTATGGAGATTTAGTTTTCCAGCACTCTGAATTGAGTTTTGGGAGATTTTTTGTCCTAGGGTATTTCATCTTATGGGGGATTTTGTGCTGGGGATTTTATTCGGAGATTGTTCCTAGACCCGGGAGGAATACGTTCAGCGACAGTTGACTCTGCGTCTCCTAAGCTCATAATTTCAGCTTTGGTTCTGTAGAGCTTATTGACTTAGCTCTGAAACGGTTGTGGTGTTTTATTTTGGGTATTCTGTTTGGGTGAATCAATTGATTTGTCGAGCTTGCATTTAATTGTAAATAAAGATCAGAAACTTGAGACAAAGTTGTTCCATATACGAAGTAATGAATAGTTTGTACTTGGTAGAAGTTATCAGGACATTTTTTGAAGGCTCTATCGGTAAACCACTTTCCGTACCCATTTCGATAACTTCGATAGTTTGTTGGTTGTGAACACCAAGTATCGCTTACCGCTTCCCGGAAGTATCGAATCTTCAAGAAGAACCTCTCCCGTCATGGTTTGCTAGTATTTAACAGGCAGCTCAAAATCGAATCCCGTTGGAATCGTTGGCTGATTTTGTGGTTTGAGTCAGGCTCTTAGGATCCTTCCTTTGACGTCAGGCACTAGAGAAATCTTTGCGAAATCTGGTCTGGCTTTTGGCAGGCATTTGACAGCACCTTCTGTGTAAAAGAATCCGTGCAGACCGCTGCGTAAGCTGTGATCTGTTCCTTGATGACATTCATTTCCATTAAAGCATAATCCGGCTGTGTGTATTCATGTGGCGACGACTTGAGGAATTCGCCCTTTAGAGCCCATAACCTGGCTTTAAACTGTTGCTTTGATTACCGCAACTCGCACTCCCAAAGAATGTAATTGACTTATTCTCTTTTCTTCTAAAAATAAGTAGTGTGAAGCACTTTCTCGCTCCCTTTGTTACTTAACTTAAATATTTCGTTTGTATCGTAATTGTTTTGACTTTTGTCGATAGTTTGTGAAACGCATGTGTTTTACAAACTGAACAAAGTTTTGCGTCAATAGGCTAATGTTTAGTTGCTAGTGAGGATTAAAATATGGCCAAGTAACCTGGTATTGCACTTCTTAAACTGATCAATTTGCTGGGATTATATCCGGTGTTATTTTTTCTCTATCAGTCAACATTAACAAACATCAAAATAAGCTTAAAATTTTGGCAACCCCAAATGTGTCCTACTGCTTGTGCCACGTAGCCTATTATTTTTTACAATCAAGGCTCTCCTATAGAAGGTCAACTGAAAGTTAGAGTCTTAAAGGTAAATTGTTGAAAAGTTAAGTTAAATTAGCGATACTTGTGTAAATGTCAGCTCAATAGAAGAAAAAAACAAATCAGAATGCATAGTATGGAGATTTAGATTTCCAGCACTCTGAATTGAGTTTTGGGAGATTTTGTCCTAGGGTATTTTATCTAATGGGGGATTTTGCGCGGGGGATTTTATTCGGAGACTTCCTAGACCCGGGAGGAATACGTTCAGCGACAGTTGACTCTGCGTCTCCTAAGCTCATAATTTCAGCTTTGGTTCTGTAGAGCTTATTGACTTATTAGCTCTGAAACGGTTTTGGTGTTTTATTTTGGGTATTCTGTTTGGGTGAATCAATTGATTTGACGAGCTTGCATTTAATTTTAACTGACGGTGTCAAAAGATAAAAATTCCATAAACATTGAATTCTATCTTTTTTAGGAAAAGTTGTCCGTTTTTTTTTACACAAGAAATTCCTGCGCTGAATGACAAATGACACAAAATGAGTTAGTAAGAGATTTTGTCGTTCCTCTTGAAATCTTTTTTTTTCACCGAACACAAATATTTTTTTCGTAAAGCAAGTGATCACTCGTAAAGATATTAAAAAAATTAAACCGAATCTCTCGTTAAACATCCACCAGTTGTAATGAACGGTCGCTCTTAACAGAACAAATAAGGCTAGAATAATTTGTTTCAAATTGCAAGGAAATGTTATAACTGTTTGTCTAAAGTGAGAACCTATTAAGGAAACTGCGTTTAAAGTTCAAACTTTATTCGATTTGTCCGATTAATTTGCACCAGGTCTGTGCATACACTATGTACTACAAATTCCTTTACAAATTCATTTTTTTGCCTGGTAATTTTTGGTAAATCAAAAATATTTTATATTTGGTCGCGTGTCATATTGTACACAGTTTAGAGTCCATGAACATAAGGAAAAGTTTTTATAGGTCGCGATGATTTTTTTGCGAAGTCTTGAAATTCGTTGAGGCTCAAGTTATAAAGCAGATCATTTCCTTTGTTTAAAAGAAGGCAAACTCCACTATCGTACATCATAAGTGTGAAGGACGTGGAAAACGTGATAGACTTCTAATTTTGAAATTGGATTTTAATTTTCAGATTTTCCAGCGGAATGTAAACTTAAAGTATTATCTAATTTTCTCAGTTTGAGTTATTAAAAGAGAGTCAACCATAAAGGTTTCATGAAATTCAAACAGCTTTAGGGCTGTGTATTTGTATTTGTCATTATGAAATTCGAAAGCTGAAAATTTTTTGCGAAAAATAGTGTTTAATTGCGCGAATTGACTCTTTTCCTACTTTCTAGTGCTTGCAAGTAGCAATGAGATTTTTTTTAAACTCTTTCTTAAATCCTACCAAAAATGGGCCATTATGTTTAAATGTTTCATTTCAGACTAATAAATGGCTGGTTTGTGGATGAAAGATTTTTCCTCATCTGATTTCACATAGCCTTTAAATTAATTTCTCAAAGCCTTTTGGGATGCTACTGCCGACTTGTGTACATCTTCGGTTACAACGAGTTTGCATTTTATCCAGCTTAACTCGCACAAATTTGTGTTCAATTTCAGTGTGTAATGCTTATTGTTTTTATTCTATAGGTCCATACTAAGGGTGCTTCGAATCCTTTCTTCGATTATTTATTTTTTTTGTCAAAACGTTTGTTCTTTTTTTAGCAATATGAAGCTGTTTTTGCCTGTTTCTACAAATTGCCGCTTCGCCTCTTTGTAAAAATTGTTATGGCTGCTATCAAAAATTTGTCTTTTTTTGGTCTTGTGGCCGTTAACACACATTTACTCTTTCGGACTCCCAGCCAAACAGACCTCAATAACTGCGTCAAAGTTTGTTTTTATATTAGATCTTAGTTTACTTCGATTTTTAAATATCCGAAATAATATCCGGCAATTATTTTTGATTACGTTACCCTTTCAGATCAGTTTTCTCCTCTCCGGAGCTCTGACAACTGCTTGGTCAATTTGAAGAAACGAAAATATATCAAAACCAAAACTTTTTTAATCGTGTTGTCAGATTGGTCATCCATCTCAAGATTGATGCTCAATTTCCATTCTTGGTCAGCAAAATGTGACTACCTTTATTGTTGATTCTAAATTTGTAAATTTTCTTCAATTTTTTTTAAATATTGTCGGCTTTGTTATCGCATCGTAGTTTTAATTCGTAATTAATTTCTGTTTGTACGGTGGGACATGTTTTCCTCAAAATCAATTTCGTTCCAGGCAAATTTCGGTATGATTTTTTTCAGAGATCTTTTTCTTTCGACATTTTGTGACGTTTGTTATTTTTTTCTAGTTAGCTTGTCTTGCTATGCTTACGATGTATCTCAAGTGGTGCAAAGCTCCGCTTCACCTCTATGTAGATAAATCTTCATATGAGATTATAGTTGAACTTCATTTGAGATTATTTGGCCACGATGTTAGCATTTACTATATAATTCATCATTTCCATGTCACGTTTTTCATTTTCGATTATCATTTTGTTGTTTTTTCAGCACAGATGGGTGTGTCGGAGGGCAAGTCAGTTGGGGAGTGGTTCGGACCTAACACAGTGGCCCAGGTGCTGAAGAAACTGTCCACTTTTGACGAGTTCACTCCCTACTGCGTACATGTGGCAATGGACAATACTGTAGTCGTTGATGATGTCTACGCATTGTGTAAAGGTAATTCTGTTATTACCCATTACTTCAAATTAAAAACCAATTATATTGAGAAAAAATTGATAATAAAAAAATTGATTTTATTACATAATTTCATTGAGATTTTCTTCGTTGAATTGAACGATCTTAGAATTGACTAGTTCACTAATTTGATGTGAGAGAAATGAGAGTAAGTTGTGAAATTCGAAGTATTTTAGTGGATTAAATGGAATAAAATACACATGATATCAGACTTTATCTGCTTAACCGGTCATTAATATTAATATTCACCCTATGAAAAAAAAAACATTTTCAATCATTCAGTTGCCATCTGATAGAACGGTGTTAAGCCAACAAGCCAAAAATTAAAATTGTAATGCAACATAAGAACATTGTTACGCAATTATCTTAGAGAATTCTTATTTAATATCGGCTTCAAGATATGGCAGTTCGTTAAACATCCGCCGATAGAACATGTTGGGCTCTAAACTTGAGCTCCACTAAGCGGCGTTTTCTGTTCTTTGCTAATGATTTTTAAGGCTAGTTTTTTTCCATGCAAGATGTTTAGTGGGTTTGACGGCAGCATCGGGAAGTGTAAAATATGGTTGCACCACTTCTGGCGTTGCTCCGAAGAATCACTTCTCTTCGGAGATAATCAGCCGTTTCATGGCATCAAAGCTTTTTGTGAATCTATTAAACTTGTCTTAGTGTGAGCTGATCGTAAGCCTACAAAGTGTTATGTATTTGACTTGAATCAATCCACTGGTCGCGTTTTAGGTCTTGATGAATAACAGATTAAAAACGAACTCATTGTTTTTGTTCGTAACCCCAAGTCACAAACATCTCTATACATTGTAGCTGTTCTCATCTTTCATCTAATCCCAATCAAATGAGCTTAGCCTTGTCGCCAAAAATTGCTTTGAATCAACTGAAGACGCCAACTGAAGAAATGTTCCAAATACGTTGTTTGTGACGCTACCAGTTTTAACAAACAACATGGCGGCCTATTTAATGGTGCAGTCTGAATTCAAATTGGGCGCCACATGATTCCAGCAAGTCGCTTGTAAAACAGAAATTATGCAAATTTGTTAAAGAAGCCTTTCAGGTAGACATTATTTTAAGTATATGCAGTGGAATCTATTTGCAAAAAAGGGAATTTTGAATTGAATTTGATATTAGAGTAGAGAAGCACCATTTGCATATAAATCAATTTGGATGTATTAGTCTGTGCATGCGTGTATGGAAGGTGGAAATAAAAGGCAAATCTGGCTTTTCGCGATATGGCGCTTTTTCAATTTTCGGGGCGAAATTTGGGCGTATTGTAAAGCGTTGACAGGATGAGGTATATGGACTTAATTTATGGGTGGTGGTGAATAGAAGACCCTCGAGTTATCTTCTTAGCAGCTGAATTGACAAATCGGTGCAAAAACGCAGCAACTTTTCCATGCTCTGTATCATGTCATGCGCGAAGTGCCTAGATTAGATTGGCACAAGTGGAATAGGCTTACAAATGCGTATGAAGTAATCCCAAAAAATCGTACCGGGCACTACTTCCTTTAATAATTCGACTTGCACAAAGATTTTTTGAGGGTGACAAATCAAGCAGTATGGCATGATTGATTTAGATAGAAAGCCGTTTATAGACAGGGTTATAAGGTGACACATGAATCGAAACAAGGTTTCGGCTAAGTCTTATGAAGAATTATTCGTGAAATGAAGTTAAGCTCAATTTTGAGTATCCAAAAAGGTGATGATAATAAGGAGTATAAAAAGTCAATAGATATCCGATCATTAATTGACAACTGTTTTCTGTTTCAGCTTTACCCTTTCGATTTGCACAAAACAAGAAAGGAGCGACAGACGTGGACAGTGGGACCCCAAGTGCAGAATTAAACATCACAGATGCTCATCAATCCTCATTCCCCCCTACCTCAACTGGATCGAAATCGAACATGGCCCCCGAAGGGGCTTCTTCAAGCGGCTGCAGTAGTCATTCGAATAAGGACAGAGAGACTCATTGTCTTAATTCGTGGAGACCGATTCTACTCATAGTTCCTCTCAGATTAGGACTGACTGATATCAATAACTCTTACATTGAGCCCATAAAGGTATGCTCATTAACGAGCTGAGATTCTCAACTAAATATTGAAAATGGCCATTCGATAGTTGAAATACTGCCATGAAAAAATCTTCTTCCCTTCACAGGAGCTGATTTATTTAATTTTTTATACGCTCGCGATAAGCAAGCGTTATTAAACCGAAATATAGACTTTTTTCTGGTTAATAACTAGTTTAAGAAAATCAGTTGAATCACTTGCTGGCTTATTTTCACTTCTCTTCTCTTAACATATTCCAGGTTGCTTCCCTTTGGCCTGGAGGTTATGCACTTGCCTTTGTACCCTAAGGTCTGGTTGGAGTCGTGACCGGACCTTTTTTTTCAGTATCAAGGAAATTGAAAAAATTTCGAGAAAAGTGAATTGGTGGTTTTTCGTTTGTTCGCTAAGTTTTGTCGGCCAAATTGCCACAACGAATTTTGTTTGTGCTGTAGCCAATTTTCATTGTTGTTGCAAATGCAAGTGTTGCGCATTTAATTTCAGGGGGGCTTGAAAGATTAAGAAAAAACTTGTGTCTGCTGAATGATTGTCGGCCTTGTTTCTTTTTCAGTAAATTTTGTTCTGTTTTTGCTGATTTAAAATTGAAGTGTCTGGTGTGTTTGCATGGAAAGAACTTCTATAGAGACATATGAAAGTTTATATGACCTAGTTTTTTTTAGAAATTTTCTCATTTTCGATTTTTTTATGTTTGTGTTGTATCGCAAGTGGTGCGATGCTCCGCTTTGCCTCTGTGTCAATTCATTTAATTTGTTCGATTTTCAGGAGTGTTTCCACATGGAGGAGACGATGGGAATCATCGGTGGTCGACCGAATAGTGCCTACTACTTCATTGGATATCAAGGTTAAACATTTACTAGAATGGCCAAGATCTCCATTTTACGGATTGCTGTGGGTCTTTATTTATGAAGAGTTAATTGGCCTTTTTACCGAATGCGTTTGTTCAAAACTTTTGGTAGACGATTACTTGCTATTATAAGATTAGAAAATCTGTTGAAGCCGGTAAAAAGCACTGCGGTGTACGCTTAGAAAACTATCGAAGTCAAGAAAGTTGTATTATTGAAGGTGAATGTTTGACCCATAACAACAACTTCAGGAACATTTGACCATTGCGGTAGGTAAATAACAGCAACTTGAGGTTTTGTTACAGGCTCTTTCTTATTGTACTTGGACCCCCATGACACTAAACCGACAGTGTCAACAGTGACAGATGACTCCTCCTACCACTGCGACAGTGCAAAGCGGATGCCCTTTACTGCCCTGGATCCATCTCTAGCCATTGGCTTCCTACTCCAGAGCCAGGCGCAGTTCGACTTCTGGTGCAGTAGGTTAGAATGAGTTACTTTGATTGGAAGCATGGTTGTCCTAGCTCTCAAGTTGCTCAACGTGTTAATTTCTTTCTAGAGCTTATTTCTTTGAGCAAAGAAAATTGCCAAGTTAAGTAGATACTGTTTAACAACTTGCAAAAGTTGAATGAGTGAAAAACTTTTTGATTTTTTTGCGACAATTGAGAGGTAAACTGGTCAAGTGTTGGCATTACTTTCATGTATTGTTACATAATTTGATTTCTAGGTGGTTGATGTAATTTATTCTTGTGAAAAGTTAAATATAATTAATTGATTAGTTATAGGAGTGGATAGCAAAGCATAAATCCCATGGGATTTTGCTTAGCTTCCAAATTTTGTCAAAGTCCAATTGTTAGTTAAACATGTATATTATATAATGATTTTTATCTACATGAATAAATGTAATATTTATGAAAAATAACGATGTACTCATTTTTCAGACTGAGGGACAGTGTGATTACGGACAAGAAGCAGCCGCTGTTTGAGATTGTGCAAAAGAGGCCGGCTCATTGGCCTCCCCTCGAGGTTTATCCTTCTCTATCGCCTGCCCAAGACACAATAGGTCAGTGTAAAAGTTACCCATTGTTTCCACCTCAATATGCTCCTAGTAAGTGGTAGACACCCCGAAATACAAATTTCACTGTTGAACTTCTGTTGAAAATTTTCGGTTTTGATCGATTAAATATGTCACCGAAGCTTCGAGCTTAAAAATTATAAATGATCAATGATTATTATTATTATCATTTTTTAAATTTAGAAGACATGGCTGCTACATTCTTGGAAATCAGCGCGCGTGAGATGGATGACGATTTTGTGGTCATTTAAGGAGAACACGTCCATTGGCCATCAACTGCTGAAGGGAAATGAGTTTCGAAGACGAGCTGATCCCGTGCTACAGCGCTTTTCCAAACGTGCCAATTAATTACTACTAAGAAGAATACTTCAACTTTGATTGACTAGAAAGAAGCTTCAATCGGTCTAATTAAGTGCGAGAGGGTATAGGTTTCAGAGTACAACACCTCTATGGCTCCTTCATTCCCTGTAATTATAGCTTGTAGAGCAACAGGAACTGGATATATTTTGAGTTCGAGTAGATTACTCATTGGTGCTATATTTGCTTAGTTAGGTCATACAAGTTTCAAAGTGAGCTGAACTAATGTAAAGACGTGAACTGAACTAAAATGGAGCATAAGTTACAGTCAAAAAGTGTACGTTTTCAAACTGCCGATCACAGTGGATTTTAACTTCTTTAGAAATTAAAGGTTTTATCAGTTGTTAAATGAATATTCAATCAGATTCAAATCTTTTTGGTTTAGTTCTGTTAGGCCAACCCAGTTGTTGGCAATGTTTGGTTCTTCTAAAATTAGTTATTAGTTCTGGAGATATTAATGAAATGACTACCCTTGTCTGTTATTGATGTCCTTGAAAAAAAAATAATTTAATTGTAATTTTCTCAATTTCCTTCAGTAGAGTCAATATGGTTTTAGTCGCATCAATTTCATTTTAAAACTGCCACAAATCATATTGAGGGTTTGAATAGATAAATAAATTTTGACACAAGCTGATCGGAGCCATTTTCAAGTGTTTTTTACTCATTTAGGCCCTGGTTCAAAATTGCTGTTCGAAATACTCTAAGTGGAAAGTACATATTTTGAGTTTATTTTGAGAAAATTTTAAAGAGTCGATGAACATAGCTCAGACTCTTATTTAGGTGCTGATGATTTTTTTCATTTTTTCCGAAAAGTCTTAAAATATGTTCAGACTCAAATTTACTTTTCTTAAATTGGATTAATTCTTAAATTGTGATAAAAATTAAAACTTTTCTTTAATTGGATAAATTTAATTTTAAAAAGTCAATCATAATTTGATCTAGAATTTCAGAAAGCTTTAAAGACATCTATTTGTTTCTATAAATTTTGAAAGTTGGAGAATTTTCTAGAGTAATGAACGTAGTGAAGACTCTTATGTAGGTCTTGTTGATTTTTTCTTCAGCAAAAGTCCTAAAGTATTGATGCGCTTAGGTATATATGCATTTTTCGAATTAAATTGATTTCATCGGATGAAAGTTACGTAAATATGACTCTTTAAATACGAATGTGGAAATGGCGCGAAAATTCTAGTGTTAAAAGTGGAATTAAATTTTCAGATTTCCAGGGGAATACAAACTTTACTGTTGATCCAGTTTTCTCAAGTTGGGTTAATGTTATCAAAAAGCGCCAATCATAAATTATTCTCGAATTTTAAAGAGCTTAAAGGGCACCTATTTTTTTGAAGTTCGAAAGTTGAGATTTTTTCAAAAAAGTCAAGGTTTTTTTTATGTTAGCTTCGTTCATTACTCTTTTCGAATCTTCGATTGGCTATTTTTTGAAAAACAAGACACTTTTTTTTATATTTCCGTAGGCTCGTTGATACTTGTCCAACTACTTGGCCGTTTAATGTTGTATAAAATGTTTCACGACAGTTGAGATGCACTGTTCTCGAGTTTTCTAACTCAAGCGCTCAATTTTTTAAAGGCAGTTTTTCGTGTTTTTTTTTGCTTCGGTTCAGTCGACGTCTACTAAAATGTTGTTGGCCTAGTGGCCGCTCGGTAAATGAAGATAATAGCTTCTTTCGTTTGGAGTTTGCGTTTTTGACTGTATTCCTCAAATTACAAGTTACATGTTGTGAAAAAAAAATTATTTTTTCGATTTTGTTTCCATATCATTAAGAGTAATGAACGTAGTGAGTACTTTTAGATAGGTCTCAATTATTGTTTTTCAGGAAAAGTTTTAAAATTTGTTCTTGAAAAACGTGATTGCTATCTAACATCGGAAACGAAATTTAATTAGCAGATTTTCCAGCGAAATCTAATTTTTACCTTTCGATCCAGTTTTCTCAAATTGAGTTAGTTTTACCAAAAAGTGTCAATCAGAATTTTTTCTAGAAATTAAAAAAAAGATCGAGGCAATTTTTTTTTTCTTCGAAATTCCAAAGTTTTCCTTTTTAAGAGTAACGAACGTAGTGAGTACTCTTATATAGGTATAGGTGTTGCTTATTTTTTCCAGGAAAAAATCTTAAAATTTGTTCACGCTCATTTTTGGTTTTTCGCGATTTGACCTGCAATTTTTTTTTAATTGTAGTGCATTTCTATTGTTAAAAGGAAGGCAAACTCCACTATCGAACAGCAAATTTGTTTTAGTCAGCAGAATAAACCGATCGATCCAGTTTTCTCAAATTGGGCTACTTTTAACAAAAAGTGTCCACCTTAATTTAATCTACAAATTCAAAGAGCTTAAAGGCCATCTATTTCTTCTTCAATATTCAAAAAGTTGAACATAAATGAAAAAATTCGTTTTTTTTTTTAGTTTTCTTGCGTTCTTTATTCTTTTCCAACTGTCAGTTGACCGTTTTTTCGCGTAAAGAACTGTTTAAAGAGCTCAATTTTTTAAAGGCAGATCGTGTTTTTTCTCGTTTCTGTTCAGTGGACGTCTACTCAAGTGTTGTGGCATTAGTGGCAGCTCGGTAAAGGAAGATAAAAGCTTATTAAGTTTTGGAGTTAGTGTTTCTCGACTATGTTTCTGAAATTGAAAGTTACATGTTCTGAAAAAGAACTCTTATTTTTTTCGATATCATTGTTCCATCTCATCAAGAATAATGTACGTAGAGTAATGTAAGTACTCTTAGATCGGTCTTAGTAATTTTTTTCAGCAAAAGTCCTAAAATTTGTTCTTGAAAAACGTGATCGACTTCTAATGAAAAAAGCTCAAGGCAAATTTTTTTTCGAAATTCTAAAGCTGAGATTTTCAAGAGTAATGAACGTAGTGAGTACACTTAAATAGGTCTTGCTTATTTTTTTTTCATGAAAAAGTCTTCAAATTTGTTAACGCTCATTTTTGATTTTTCGCGGTTTGACCTGTGATTTTTTAAATTTCAGTGCATTTCTATTGTTAAAAGGAAGGCAAACTCCACTATCGAACAGCAAAATTTTAAATATCGTGAAAAGCGTGATTGACTTCAAATTTCGAAAATGGAAATTAATTATCACCTTAATCAGCAGAATAAACCGATCGATCTAGTTTTCTCAAATTGGGTTGCTTTTAACAAAAAGAGTCCATCATAACTTGTTCTATAAATTCAAAGAGCTTTAAGGCCATCTATTGTTTTCTTCGAAATTCATAAAGTTGAAGATTTATGAAAGTTTTTTTTTGTTTTTCAGTTTTGTTGCGTTCATTATTCTTATCCAACTGATAGTTGGCTGTTTTTTCGCGTAAAGAACAGTTTAAAGCGCTCATGTTTTTAAGGCAGTTCGTGTTTTTTTTTGTTTCGGTTCAGTGAACGTCCACTCAAGTGTTGTGGGTTTAGTGGCAGCTCGGTAAATGAAGATAAAAGCTAAGTAAGTTTTCGAATTTGTGTTTCTTGACTGTGTTTCAGAAATTGAAAGTTACATGTTCTGAAAAAGAAATCTTATTTTTTTCGAGATCATTGTTCCATTTCATCAAGAATAATGTACGTAGAGTAATGTAAGTACTCTTAGATCGGTCTTAGTAATTTTTTTTCAGCAAAAGTCCTAAAATTTGTTCTTGAAAAACGTGATCGACTTCTAATGAAAAAAGCTCAAGGCAAATTTTTTTTCGAAATTCTAAAGCTGAGATTTTCAAGAGTAATGAACGTAGTGAGTACACTTAAATAGGTCTAGCTTATTTTTTTTTCCTGAAAAAGTCTTCAAATTTGTTAACGCTCATTTTTGATTTTTCGCGGTTTGACCTGTGATTTTTTAAATTTCAGTGCATTTCTATTGTTAAAAGGAAGGCAAACTCCACTATCGAACAGCAAAATTTTAAATATCGTGAAAAGCGTGATTGACTTCTAATTTCGAAAATGGAAATTAATTATCACCTTAATCAGCACAATAAACCGATCGATCTAGTTTTCTCAAATTGGGTTGCTTTTAACAAAAAGAGTCCATCATAACTTGTTCTATAAATTCAAAGAGCTTTAAGGCCATCTATTGTTTTCTTCGAAATTCATAAAGTTGAAGATTTATGAAAGTTTTTTTTGTTTTTCAGTTTTGTTGCGTTCATTATTCTTATCCAACTGATAGTTGGCTGTTTTTTCGCGTAAAGAACAGTTGAAAGCGCTCATGTTTTTTAAGGCAGTTCGTGTTTTTTTTGTTTCGGTTCAGTGAACGTCTACTCAAGTGTTGTGGGTTTAGTGGCAGCTCGGTAAATGAAGATAAAAGCTAAGTAAGTTTTCGAATTTGTGTTTCTCGACTGTGTTTCTGAAATTGAAAGTTACATGTTCTGAAAAAGAAATCTTATTTTTTTTTGATATCATTGTTTCCATCTCATCAAGAGTAAGGAATGTAATGAGTACTCTTAGATAGGTCTTACTTAGTTTTTTTAAAAAGTCTTAAATTTTGTTCATGAAAAACGTGATCAACTTCTAATATCGAAAACAAAATTTAATTTGCAGATTTCCCAGCGAAATCTAACTGTTGCTTTTTGATCCAGTTTTCTCAAAATGAGTTAGTTTTAACAAAAAGTATCAATCATAAATTGTTCTAGAATTTGAAAAAAGCTCAAGGCAATTTTTTTCGAAATTCTAAAGCTGAGATTTTCAGGAGTAATGAACGTAGTGAGCACACTTAAATAGGTCTTGTTTATTTTTTTCATGAAAGTCTTCAAATTTGTTCACGCTCATTTTTGATTTTTCAGGATTTGACCTGTGATTTTTTAACTTCAGTGCATTTCTATTGTTAAAAAGAAGGCAAACTCCACTATCGAACAGCAAAATTTTAAAAATCACGAAAAGCGTGATTGACTTCTAATTTCGAAAATGGAATTTAATTATCACATTAATCAGCAAAAGAAACCGATCGATCTAGTTTTCTCAAATTGGGTTGCCTTTAACAAAAAGAGTCGATCATAACTTGTTCTATAAATTCAGAGAGCTTTAAGGCCATCTATTGTTTTCTTCGAAATTCATAAAGTTGAAGATTGTTGAAAAAGTTTTTTTTTTGTTTTTCAGTTTTGTTGCGTTCATTATTCTTTTCCAACTGATAGTTGGCTGTTTTTTTTTGCGTAAAGAACACTTTAAAGCGCTCATGTTTTTTAAGGCAGTTCGTGTTTTTTTTTGTTTCGGTTCAGTGGACGTCTACTCAAGTGTTGTGGGTTTAGTGGCAGCTCGGTAAATGAAAATAAAAGCTGAGTAAATTTTCGAATTTGTGTTTCTCGACTGTGTTTCTGAAATTGAAAGTTTTATGATCTGGTAAAGAAATCATTTTTCTTTTCGATATCCTTGTTTCCATCTCATTAAGAGTAAGGAACGTAGTGAGTACTCTTAGATAGGTCTTACTTAGTTTTTTTAAAAAGTTAAATTTTGTTCATGAAATACGTGATCAACTTCTAATATCGAAAACAAAATTTAATTTGCAGATTTCCCAGCGAAATCTAACTGTTGCTTTTTGATCCAGTTTTCT